CAGAAGAAATAAAAGTTAATAGCATAAACAAAAATGAAGTTACAACCAACAATAACAACATCAAACAAGAAACAAATTCTAGATGTTCCTATCATAGATATTTGTCAAATTACAGAGATTACTCCAATAGATGTCCTTTTCTGAAGAGTCTAAGTCTTGTACTTAATATGCCCTTAGTTAAGATTTTAGAGGATCTAACTGTAACTCTCTAGTCTTCAACCCCATCAAAAACCTGAGAAGCAAAGTAATATTACCAAGTAAGCAGGGCATGGAAACAAGTGATTTCTGAAAAATACAAGTTATGATAGAAACAGCTGGCTGCTTGGATAGTCACCCAATGTTTCTCTGCAATGTTGGGGCACCCAACTTTTGTTATATGCCTAGAATATTTGATAGACCATTTTTTAGAAGCAGGAAAATTTGAAGGACTGTTTTACCCCTGTCTTGGCAAGGTTCAGTTGAAGATTTTCCTCATGTCTTGCTTGTCCTGATTGTACAACATGCAAGGCAAGGACATTTCCCCCCCCCAATAGACCAGTTTTGCCAAGAAGAAAACAAACTCTATATGGAGTGTCTTCAGTGCCCATCAGCCTCTCAGGAGTGGTTCGGTGCTGCCAGGAGCAGTTGTGCCTCATGTAACAGAATTCTAAGTTATTAAAATATTTAAATGTCATATTCTAGTTGGCATACCCTGCTTGTGCATTTCCTGGCTGCCGTGACTTGAATAATCACACGGAAACTATATTAATACAACACTATTTGACCAATGACTTAGGCATATTCCTAGCTAGCTCTTTTCATAAATTAATCCATTTATATTATATTTTACCCGAAGGCTCGTCGTTTGTTGCATCTTGCTTCTTGGGCAGCTATGTGGCATCTGCCTCCTTCAGCTGCTATATGGCATTTTTTTCACTATACCTTCTCTCTCTATTTATCTCTGCTCAGATTTTTTACCTGACTTTTCTCTGCTAAGCCATTGGCCAGAACAACTTTATTTATTAACCAATAAAAGCAACACATATACAGAAGAACATCCCACATCATATTCTATAGGTCTTTTAAGTGTTTGAAGATTACTCATCTTTCAAAGAATAAATCTCTGTGCATCTATAAAACAGAATTAACATGACAATAAGCTTGACAAGCATGGGTGACTATTAACCTGTAATTCTCAATAACCTATATGCTTAAAGACTAAGGCTTCATGTTATAAAAATAAACAACCTATAAACAGATGTATAGTGCAAGCACAATGACCTTGAAATTGTTGCAATATACACAAATATCTTACACATGGTGAGATGCTACAGTAGAAATCTTAGACCCCTTCCAAAGTAGATATAGACACTTGCAGAAATTGACCTCTCTATCAGTCTTCTATGGAGAATTCTGATTTGGATAGGGGAATAACTGCTTTCTCAAGTTTATATGCCTGTGCTGGAGAGATGGCTCCGTGGTTAACAGCATGTGCTGCTCTGAAAGAAGAACCAAGCATGTTATTGGCACCATGTCAGGTGGCTCACAACTGTCTCTAATTCTAGCTCTAGGGATTTCTGGTGCCTCTGACTGCCCCTGCAATTGTATGCACATACTTCAATTCCCACAATTCATATACATGACTGAAAATAAAGTCGATATTAAAAAACTAAACTCTGAATGCCAAGCCCACTCCCAAAACATACACACACACACACACACACACACACACACACACACACACATAATTTGCCCAGGTGTTTCTTTAGAAGAATCTTCCAAACACTATTCAATGATTCAACAGATACAATAGAATTGAAATAACACCTCACATTATACCTGACCATCACACATTAAAGCTGAATATCAACTACAGAAACAACAGGAAACATACAAACTCATGAAAACAAAGCAACTCTCTACTGAATGAAAAATGGATCAATACAGAAATTAAGAAAGAATTAAAGACTTTCTAAAATTGAATAAATGAATTTGTAACATATTCATGCTTATGTAAAAATGAATATGTTTCTAAGAAGTAATGATGGAGGAAGGTAATTGGTTAATTATAATAAACCAACTGCTTGGCCTCATAGCTTAGAACATAGGTGGGTGGAATAAACAGAATAGGATGCTGGGAAGAAGAGGAAGTGAGGTCAGACTCTGCTCTGCTCCCGGAGAGACCCAACTGCTCTGCTCTCTGGAGCAGAGATGCCATGCTCAGCTCTCCCGGGTAGACCCGACAGCTCTGCTCTCTGGAGCAGAGATGCCATGCTCAGCTCTCCCAGGCAACTCCAACCCAGGATGGACATAGGCTAGAATCTTCCCGGTAAGCGCACCTTGAAGTGCTTACACACATCATTAGAAATGGGCTAGTCCAGGTGCGAGAATTAGCCTGTAAGGGCTAGAGTTCATGGGCCAAGCAGTTCTTAAATGAGTACAGTTTGTGTGTTGTTATTTCGGGCATGAGCTAGCCAAGCGGCCGGGGTGTTGGGGACGCAGCCCCGCCGCTCCTATTTCAACAAAGTAAGTTCAGAGTCTACATGAAACCACAACAACAAACAACAAACAAAGCAAAACAAAATAAAACATCCTGAAGAGATGTCATAGTAATAATTTAACAATTCCAGAAATACTATCTGGGAACTTCTACAACTGATAAATACCATCAGCGAAGTGTCTAGATACATTAATTAAAAAAAATCAGTAGTCTTCCTATATACTAACAAAACATGGACTGAGAAAGAAATCAGGGAAACAACATCTTCCATAATAGAGAAAAATAGTATGAAATATCTTGGGGGACTCTAACCAAGCAAGGAAAACTTGTATGATAAAAAATTTAAGTCACTGACTAAAGAATTTGAAGAAGATGAAAAACTTCACATGTTCATGGATTTGCATTAATATTATAATAAAAACAGACAATCTTACAAAATAAATCTATGGATTTGCTCAAGCTGATGCTCTGGCTTTCACCACACTTACAGATAAGGAATACAGTGACCATAAACTAACTTTATATTAAGAGATTCCTAACCCCTTACACCCACCCTCACCTCATTTCACTGATGATTTTAGTTCAGGAATTTACCGCTTGTGTTTTACTCTCAAGGACAGCAGAAGAGATACTTAACTACTACCAAAGAAAGGCTTCCTTCCCACTGGTGCTACAGATCCACAAATGACCAGGATCAGAATGACTGATATAGCATACCCTAAAACTGATTATTTAGAGACCTGGGTCTCTTCTTTATTTCTACGGCTTAGAGCGATAGTCTAACGCCAGATCTAGACCAGTAGAAATTCCAGCATCTGGCGAATGTCCTAATCATATCAGGAGCCATTAGCTTCCCTCTGAGTGTCTACAATGTTGCCTGGTTACCTGGTATCCTCATTTCATGCTGAAAGAAAAGAAGCAGTGCATTGATTTCAAATACAGTTCATGCTCTATTCATAATTTTACTGAAAAGAAACCTTTTAGCTCTTTTACCTACCACCTACAAATGTAGTGTAGTACACTATCCTCCCCTCTAGAATCCCCTGATGATTCAATTTCTTTCTTAACTAGCTTTCTCCATTAAGAAGTTCACTGGATGTGTAGTAGCCACTATTGAACTGACAGCCATGGATCTCTGTCTCTCTGTCTCTGTCTCTGTCTCTGTCTCTGTCTCTGTCTCTCTCTCTTTTTCTCCTCCCCCCCTCTCTCTCTGTGTATGTGTGAAAATTCTTATCTGATTTTTATGGGGCAAAAGAATTCTGTCCTTGGAACCTGCTAGGGCTGGGGAATTGCTGGATTTAAGCGTATATATTACTGGGAAAGCTTGTAACAAGGGCTGGAAAGAGAAGAATAAAGAAACATGGATAGACTGGCCCAGTTGTGAGTAGGTTTCTTAACGCTCAGACTTGAGATACCTTTGCTTATTGTGGTGCTATTGATTGAGCCCTGAGAGGGATTTGTTAAGCTCTGGACTCCTATGCCCCATTATTAGTTCATTGTCATCATGCCAACAAGCACGGAGGAAAGCATGCAGACATGATGTTAGATAGGTAGCTGAGAGTTTTCATCTGTATTGGCTGGTAGCAGGCAGAGAATGAGATTCTGGGCCTGACTTGAGCATCGGAAACCTCAGAGTTGGCCAACAGTGACACACTTTCTTTAACAAGGGCACACCTCCTAATAGTGCCACTCCCTTTGAGCCTATGGGGAGCATTTTCATTCAAACCACTAAAGGGATTGAGGAGGTTGATCAATGGACAACCTCACTTCTGTATGCAAGCACCCGTGGTAAGACAGAAGAGGCAGTTCTCTTCAACTCATCTTTGGTTCTTCTGATCCCTGACAACGCATCAATTTTGTTGTATGATCTTTTCTTGGGGAGACACAAATATCTATTCACCCAATGTAGGTACTCATGACAGATACCCTCAAAATCACCAAAATAAAATAAAATAAAATAAAAAAGTCTCACAACTTTTTCTGAATCTAGCTTAGCAAATGATTGAATTTATTAGGGTGCAGGTTGCTTACAGGAACATTGGTCACTCAGAGACAGCTGCATCACTGAAAAGCCCACTCCAGCAAGACAATGATTCACCACAGCTGCAGCCATTGGAGCCCCTGCAGGATTTGCAGACTCCTCAGCTGCTATGAAATCCCCACTCGCATGGAAAGCTTTTTGCTTAAATAACCTTGAGAAGAGCTTCATTTTTTGAAGTTTTTGTGCTAAGACTTGTGATTTTTATTTACTACCTGAGTCTTTATTTTACATGTTAAGTGTATCTATTTGTGGTGTGTATGTGTACACATGCATATACACGTCAGTCTCATGTTGGGCCTCTTCCCAGTTAATTTCTACCTTAATCTTATTTATTTATTTATTTATTTATTTAAGGTTTCTATCTCTTCCCTGCCACCACCTTCCATTTCCTTCCCCCTCCCCCAATCAAGTCCCCCTCCCTCATCAGCCCAAAGAGCAATCAGGGTTCCTTGCCCTGCAGGAAGTCCAAGGACCACCCACCTCCATCCAGGTCTAGTAAGGTGAGCATCCAAACTGCCTAGGCTCCCACAAAGCCAGTACGTGCATCTACCTTAATCTTAATGGGAGTTTCTCTCCACTGAATCCCGAGTTTGTAGTTCTCCACAATCTAGGTAGCCAGCTTGCTCCATGGTTCCACAGTCTCTGCCTTCCAAGTGTGGAAGTATAAGGTGATAAAGAGGAGATAGCTAACAAACATCTATTCATATCTTTTGTATGTGCATGCTTGTACAGGTTTGGGTATTGTATATAGCATGTGTCCACTTGTGTGTGTTGTGAGGAAAGGGCCCGCTTTTTCGTCCCAGCTGCCCTGCTAGCTTACACCCGAAATAACCACACAGAAACTGTATCAATTTAAACACTGCATGACCCATTAGCTCTAACTTCTTATTGGATAACTCTTACATCTTGATTTAGCCCATTTCTATTAATCTATGTATTGCCATGTGGCTGTGGCTTATTGGCAAGATTCTAACTGGCGTCCGTCTAAGGTGAAGGATCCATGGCTTCTCCCTCACTCTGCTTTCTTCCTCCCAGCATTCAGTTCTGTCTTCCACGCCTACCTCAGTTCTGTCCTATCAACTAAGCCAAGGCAGTTTCTTTATTTATTAACCAATGAAAGCAACACAAAAACAGAAGGAACTCCATACCACGCGCGCGCGCGCGTGTGTGTGTGTGTGTGTGTATATGTATGTGTATTCAAGTGTGCAAGTAGGATTAAAAGACAGAGAAGAAGGCAGAGAAGTGAAGAAGGATTGGGGTTGTCAAATACTAAGATATTAAGAAGTGTGGTCCTTATCTTTAGATTTTCCCATGGTGATAGTAGTTTGGCTAGCATAAAGAAAATATGTCATAGGGGGAATTTATCTAATGATTCCCTGGTACTAACCATTTGATGTTGTCATGGTCAGTAGTTGTGGGTGAGGTGAGTTTCAACTAGACTTTCGAATATGTCTTTGTAAGAAGAACTTTGGCATCTTCAGTCACTGTGTCAAGGAAAAGATGTTGAAAGTAAATGGTTTTCCTAAAGAAGACACCAGCACCAAGAGGCCCACCAGTAGCTGAGGCAAATAAATCCAAAGTTTCCGAAGCTAATTTTTCTAATGTTTTTTCTTTCTCAGTTTCCAACAAATAAGGAGATTTAAGGATTTTTTTCAGTTGTTCAACAGGCACTTGGGAATTCTTAGCAATGGCTTCCAGAGAGGTGTCGTCCACTCCAAAGAGGTCTCGATAGCGGTTTAACTTCACTTTCAGCCTCTCCTTCTCATCCCTGAAGAGGCCCACTAAAGGCATAGTAGCCACTGCTCCAGCCTTGCAGGCTTCCAACCAGATAAACTGCCGCATAGATTCACGTTTTCTGTCAATAGCTGCCTCTGTGATATTAGGCAAGGAAAGCATAAAATTGTGGCGCTTTTCATTAGGAAGATTCTTTATCAGGGTGTCCATCAGGACTGGAAAATCATAGTCTGATACATCTCTGTTAGAAATCAAGAAAATCTGTGGTACATCCATCTCATATTGAGAAAAGGTGTTCACATAGGAACTTCTGATCTTCTGCAGGGTCTTTTCTCTGTCAAAGGTACTTGGTTCATTTTTCTCCTCATTTTGTAAATCAGTGTCTACCTTGGTTCTCACAATGTAGTAATTCCTTTTCATGAATATGATTGCTTTGGCAAGGTCTAGTTCATGTTTTGTAAAACGTGAGGCAGAAACAATAATGAAGAAGTCATACTCTTGGAATTTCACTTTCTCCAGATACTCTTCTGGCGGAAAGTTCATAGTTCCAATGCCAGGCAGGTCCCATAGAGTCAAAGTTCTAATTTTGGGGTGTTTGTATGGAGCTCTTTTAATAGTTGTCTCTGTTACCCCAACTTCAGCTGCATCTTCATCTTTAGGTCCCACCCCTCTCAGGGCATTGATGAAGCTGGACTTCCCTGCTCCAGACTCTCCAGTCACAGCAATGTTGATTGTGGCATTATCAATATCTCTTAATGCATCACCGATTATGGAATGTGCCCTCTGAAGGTTTCCTTCTTTCATTTGAGATTCTACTGAATGAATGGTTTCCTGCGAAATTATCTTGCTTTCTGTCTTAATCGTCATTAAATAGTTAGCGAAGCTGGACTCCAAATTTCCAAGGTCTTCATCCTTAGATGTATCAGAGGTGCACTGACCCATGACTGTGATTTCCTAAAAAGTCACTGAAAGAAGGAAGGGAGAGTAAGTTACAAGATGCAAAGGTGCATTTGGGCTTTGCATTGTGTTCCTTCACTATGCTGCCACCTTAGTTACATTCTGATATTGAATAGTTTCTATATATTTTGTGCTGAGTTTTGGTTTATCAACAAGATACTAGTTACAGTCCTATACTGGGAGCTACTGAGTACCAGTCTTGGCACTCCCTCTGGGTTCAGAATTGGATTTCTATGGGGAACAAAAACTGGCTTGCAAACAGGATCTGAGGTGTAAAACAAACTAGCTGACTTAGGCATGGTTTTCCTGCATGTTTCCTTATTCCTTGGGGGAAGATGAGCATAAGGTCATAACGCATAAGGGCAAAACATACAGATAAAGGGGGGGGGCGATCTTCACAAACCTTTCAGTTTATATAGGCATACAGACAAGTTAGCAACCCCATAGGCGGTAACAATAGCAGCAAGCATGCATTTTCATGGAGTCACAGCAATCAGGTGGATCTTGCAAGGGGGTGCTTTACATTTCAGAGGGGGTGTGGCTGCGAAGTTCCTATGCAGCTGGGAACCCAATATTGGTCTCTATACTAATCTGCTGGCTTGATTTGCATTAGCATTTAACTGGTGGAGTTTAAAGGAATCTCTTCTGGGGACCCTGCTTCTGACTTCAGCAGGGTGCCCAGGTGAGAATTTTTCTCTCTGAAGCTAGTTTTGGTGACTCAGGTCTTTTTCCTGTATAAACAGTTAATTTCCTGAGCTATGATCTTATGAGCATTACCAAGGTGAATGGTAAATACAGAATATTAGTAATTTTTTAAGTCAGAGCAGAAGACCAATAGATTACACTGTCCTGAGTCTGCTGTTAGAGCAGACATATTGCCTCCCCATTGAGGCTCCTTTCTTACAGTGAGTACTGTCAATAAATAAAGTTTTTATGTAGATTTTTGCTGGGAGAACAAAGGACTTTACTGAGTGAATCCTTTTCACACCAAGGTTTCATGGTGAAGAGTGGGGGCGGCAGTGCGGGTGGGGGAGGTTTGGGGGAGGTATCTGGGGACCCTTACAGGAAAAGTCAGGTTTGTACACTGTTGGGATACTACTGAAGGAAGAAATGCTGTCATTTCACAAAATTGACAGTGACGTATTGAAAGTGCAGGTGAGCCCATAGCTCTGCAAAAGTGGGTTACTCCAAGTGGAGTGTACGTATACACTTCCTGTGGATAGTCCAGTTGATCTGTCAGCTTTGCATTTAATTTACATAGTCCTATTGGAAGAGGCAACTTCATTTGAGGAATTGTCCCCCATCAGAATGGACATGGGCATGCCAATAGAACATTTTCTCAATTGATTTTGATGTGGGAGGCCCAGCCCACTGTGGGTAGTAGCACCCATGGCAGTTGGCTCTGGGTAATTTAAGGAAGTGTTACCAAACTCTGGGGAGCTAGCTAGTCTAGTCAACAGCAATCTCCCCTTGTTCTTACCTCTCCTCCTATAGAGCTTCTGCCCTGATTTCCCTTAGCAATAGGCTATGATCAGAATGTGTAAGCTCCCTAAAATCATATTCCTTCCAAAATGATATGCTCATGGTATTTATAAAAGCAATAGAAAGAAAATTCAAACAAATTTCCACTAGCTCTCAATTAAAGTCTTAATTATGGAAAAATGGAAATATAAGTAAGGGAAAATAATATAAAAATTTGCATGAGTCCCTTAGTCAGCACCAACAAGTATAAAAACATAAACAACTGTGCTGCATCTAACCTGACTGCAGTATTGTATATCAAATCCAAGATATCTTCTACATCGGTGCACACTTTCTTCAGTGTGTGTCTTCAAATGAATAGAAACTTAATCAACCTACATCTAGTTTTACAAAGTGAAAAACAAATAATAATAAATGATAGTTGACATGTGTTTAACCAATGTCAATCTCAAATGATCACATGAATCTACAATAAAACAATCTACTTGTTTTATTGATGTTTCAAAAGATGTCAGTCAGTCCACATGTTGTAGTTGGTTCAAATAATTTTTAATTTTCCTATATTTAATTTCCTTCTGTCTTTTTCATGACTTCAAGCATCTCTCCCTGAGGAAATAAACTTGCAATAATATAAAGCTCTTACTTTTCAAGTCCATATTAAAATCTATATATTCAATATAATATTTTATCATCCTCAAGTCATCATTTAGATTTACTATTTTTTTTAAACCTTTTATTTTATAAAAGCAATCTTACAAGTGTACTGGAGATTCTTTTCAATTGGTAGAGAGCTTTCCCAGTATGAGTAAGGCATTGGGCTCAATGTCAAGCACCTCATAAAGTATAGGTGCTTCTACATCCCTGTAGTTCTGGTACTTAGGGAGAAAAGTTAAGAGAGTCAGCACTTCTAGGTCAACCTTGGTACATTGAGAGTTATGGGCTAGCCTGGGCTACTTGAGTCCATGTCTCAAAAGAAATGAATATCAAGCTCAACAAGATGACTCACCAGGTAAATATCAGGACTAAAGACCTCAGTTGGATTATTGATTATTTTGTTAGTTCAGATCTCAAATTTATTCTCTTTATTCTCCAAAAAAATCTGCCAACAAGACCTCCCATGGCAGCATAATGGACCTGACTATCAGTTAAGGAAACAGTAAACCCCCGTTGTCCCCCTGAGTCTCCTCTTTCTGTCTCCCCCATATTAAATCAGTTCATATTAATTCACAGACTTAATTTCCAAATCCACACAATATGTATCATTCTGCATAAATTATCCTCTTTAAGACCACCTCAATTTCAGTTTTGATTATGTCACCGAAATTACTATATTTCCTGTGTATATATTGTTCTTGAGATAACATGGATGATTAAACAGCCAGTTATACTATTGACACTGAATTCATATCATGTCAAGTCAATTCTGAGATGCACCAATAGGATCCCCGTTTCCCTCAGGGAAAGTTCAGAAGCTATACAGTGCATATATTACACACAACATATTTTGAATATAATTATTACACTTCTGGAGCCTCTGGTGTCTGAATTCCAACCACCCTGATATCTAGGGCTGTCTTCTCATTTCAGGATTTTGTACTTAGTGACTGCTTCCTTTCCTTGTTTCTCTCCCCTCTAGCCACATGACTCTTAATCTCCTTTCCTTAGGTTCTGCTTCGATTAGGCAGGCTTTAACATCCCCATTGGTTATAAACATGGACTTGACTTTAACATTCACCACCATTTCACTATGTTTCTCTCTCTCCACAGCTCTTACTGCTGGATAATGTGTATCTGTAAGGGTTCACTTGCTGTCAGTCTCCCAGAGTACATTGAACCCCAGGTAGCAGAATGTGCTTTTGTCTTACTCACTTCTGCATGGCCAACATACAGTAATGGTGGTTGATCATCAGGCAATGAATGAAGGCTATGAGGCAAACATCAGACATTTCTTGTGAATATCTGTGCCTGTTCTGTAGTCATCACAGGTAAACAGGTTATTGAAGACCTAGTACATTCATAGAGAGTGGGTACCGAGCGCTCTGGGAAAGCTAACTCAAAACCAGTCTAATCCAAAAGAGGGCTCTCCTTACAATCCTACTGTGTATGAGCATAGGTACATACAGATTCACTGCACAGGAAGCCCCATTCAATCTACAGAACAAATGGGTACAGCTGTGCAGGAAACCGGAGCTGAGAACTTTGCTCAGTCTGGCTGCAGGCACAGGACAGGAAGAGGTGGTAAAGAGAATGTCCTGAAAGGGAAGCTAAACCTAATTACATAAACACCATAGCTTGATTTACTGTTGAAGAGGACAGCCACCCACAGGGGACAGATAGAATGTCCATGAAACACACAAGCTGTTCGCTTTTCAGTTTTCCCTCTCATTCTGTCCGTTCTAGCTCCAGGATCTGTGATGTAGACTCCAGTGTGATTGTTGTCTGCAAGGTGTTTCCACTGAATATGAACACAGGGAACGAGAAGGCTGTGACACAGCAGGAATTAGAAAAGGAAGCCTGCCTGAATGACAGCTGTCACCACATCCTGACACAGCTCATGTTCCTCACAAATGAAGAGAACATCCTTAGCATTCTTGCTTTATAATAAAGAAAACCACAATGAAGAAGATTCTTCAGGCACAGTTTTCCACAGCCAGCTACAGCAGAAGCAGAGAACAGAGACACCTCTTCTCCACAGGCCGGAGGCCTTGGGATATAAACAATTAAATAAGAAGCAGGATGAGAGTGAGAAACGCCAACCTCATGCACACTGCAGAGATATTCCATTACTTGAAACAACCATTTACAGCCATGGTATAGAGAGGAATAAGAAAGAAACCAAAAACTTTTAAAACATTTTGGCAAAACCAACATCCAGATCATTTTCTTTATGCCTACCTTAAGTTGAATGACTGGCTAAGACCATCCATGATGCAGTCCTGTCCACCTCCCACCAAAGCACCCTTGTTTCCAAGCTGAGGATCCCTACTCTCAGGGCATGTTCCTAAATGTCTTGTTACCTATCATCTCCTTAGAGAAGAGAGAGGATGATGGTTAGAAGTTAGATCTGAATGCCCCTGTCCACTTACCAGAGAATCCCGAGTCCACTGAATGCGCTCACTGTAGTTCAGCTACAGGAACCAGTGCGCTCAAGGCTCTTCCCACGCACCAATGGCAGCTTCTTCTGCAGACATATCATTTTATAGGTTTTGTTCCTCGCCTCTCAGTGTGTTTTGGCCAATCACAGAGGAGCCTGGATCAGTTGCTTTTTAGAATCACCTGCATTTCCAAGAAGAGGAAAGTGAAATAAAATACACAGCTCTTTATCTTTCTACCAACACCTTTTTACTTGGCAGAAAAAGGTGGACATCCTAAAATAAGAATATGGAACGAAGCTAGAAAAAAGACGGAGAACACAGAGAAGCAGCATAGTGACTATGCCATAATCCTAATTAAATTTCATCTTTCCTATTTCACAGTTCCCACTCCATGATGCCACAGTAATTTCAAA